GTTTATCTTTACGCAATGTTGTGTTTGTTCTCCTGCGGCGTGCAGTTAATGTTTGCTTGTGTGGTGACTGAATGTATTTGTTGTTGTGTTCTTTCTGCCTCCGCTTTTCATCCTGAAGTTTATGTGTGCGTGCATTTGCTGCCTCTCCTGGTCGAGCGTGGGCCCCGGGGCGACAGGCCGCCCCCGCCCGCCTGGGCAAGTGGGCCGCTGCCCCTGCAGGGTCGCGCGGGCTGCAGGGGCCCTCCCCGGGACCTGGCGCGCTGGGGGGACGTGCCTCTGGAGGTAGGAAAGGGGGTCGGAGGTGAGGGGGTGAGATCGAAGTGGAACGGAGAGCCCCCCTACCGGGAAATCGATTTCGGTTTCGTGTTCGTGCGTGCCGTGCGTGCGGGCGAGGCGAAGCTGCGTGGGCGGGCGAGAAGAAAGTCTCCTGTGGCTGAGGCGCGGCCGGACCAAATGTCTCCCTTCCTCGCCTCCTTATCACCGGAAGGGTGGTCTATGCGGTGTGGTATAAGGGTGTGTGGTGCCGATCTGATGTCAAGGGGGCCCTGGCGATGTTATGTATCGCAGGTGGCATCGCCATTTCCACGATGGGCACCAGACCCTTTTATGCCACACCCCTTTTTCCGACCTCCAAAATGATAGTGGGACGCCGCCGCCGCCGTCGTCGTCGGCGTCGTCGTCGTCGACGTCGCGTCGGCGCTCCCCGAGGACGTGCTGGGGGTGTGCGGCTGGAGCGGCCGCGCGGAGCGGCCGCAGTAGGCAGGGGTGCACCAGAGCTTGGTCGGGCAGAAAAGCGTCAGCGCGATAGGCAGATCGACAGCTCTCTGCCAAGACCCTCTCGGCCCCGAACGTTGTTCGAGGTTGTAGAGTTGTTCTGCTGCTCTTGGGTTTCCCTCCTCGGGGTGCTCTCCAGCAACCGCGCCTCGCCGAGAGCGTTCTGGGTGTGCCTGGATGGTCCCGATTGGCCGCCAAAGAGTTGAGTTAGGACCCGAAAAATAAATCCCTTCGCGCCGTGAAAAACACACGATGGACGTTGTTTACTATTTTCAATAGCTGGTGGACCTTCGCCGTGCCCCGATGCTGTCAGAAGACAGCCCAGGAAGGAAACGCAATCCCAGGGAATGGCTCGAGACTTCCCGGTGTCCACGTTACGAAACAAGATTGACCTCGGGGGTCGGCGGTTTCGTCCTGTCCACCCGCTTCCCGTCCCCTCGTCCTCCTTGGCCTCCCTGCCCTCCTCGGCCGTACCCGCCACTTCCATCCTCCGCGCGGCTGTTTATTGTCGAACTGCTCGTTCTGATATTCCTAGGTTCTCTTCCTGTCCCTAACACTTCTCAACCAGGCGAGCTAGCATTGTAAACGCTGGCCTGTACCCTACACTCTCTCCTTGTCCTCCACCCTCTCCTACCCATGGTAGTGGTGGTGGAAAATCGGCCCGTCAATACATCTGCCCCCAGGAAAGGTCCGCGGCGCGGCCTTTCTTCCGCGGCGACCCCCGGGCGGTGCTCGCATGGGTGGCACATGCGGAGAGCGCGGCACGGCACGCGGAACTTGTTGCGCCAGGCAGTTTCGAAGCGTTTGGTGGTCCGAGGTGGCCCACATCGGCCACGCGCAGAGGGGGGGTATGGGGGGAGAGGGAAGGCTTCTTAGAAGCACCCCTGCTTCTAAGGAGCATTCCCCCTCACCCTGCCCCCCTTGTTCCATCCCCGCGCCGCCAACCACCCGACCCCCCTCCCCCTACCACCCCCGCGCCGCCAACCACAGCACTGGTTCCAGCCAGCAGGAAGGGGGGGGCCGAGGTGTGAGGCGCTGGATTTGACAAGAGTTGTTATGGTTGTTCTGTCTCGGGGGGCCGTTTCCGCGCCCTCGGACTGTCAGAACCGGATCCGGGGTGAAAAGCTGCACGGGATGAACCCCAGGAGTGTTCCATGGACCGATGTTGAGCGGATTCGCCCGTCTGGACAGATCTTCTTCGGGCCCATCCAGGTCGCGCCTCTGGCCGCCTCCGCCCCACACGAGAGGTAACCGCGGAGCGCGGCACAGCACGGTGAACATTTTGTGCCAAGCGCTGGCCTGACCTGGTCGCTTTTACTGTCGTGGAGCGGCGCTGCTTTCCCTGGAATCGCTTCGCTGAGGAGCAGTCAACGAAATGCTGCGAAGATCGTTGAATCACGCTCGCACCATACCGACCGAACATAGATCCGTGATTTGCAGTCAACCCGCAAGGTAAGGATGAGCAGCTATCCAAGGTGACCCTTGCATCCTTCCCCGTCGGCCCATCCTTGGCCGCTTTCGCTTGCCGCGTTCCCCTCGCAAAGTGTCGACATGGCCTTTCAAGGCCCTTGCATCCCTATCGTGCGTCCTTATCATACGGGCTGACCGTACCGGAAATTCATCTCTGCTTTCTGAGGTGGCGGTGGTGACAGCGGGGCATTGTCGGAGGAGCGGGGTTGGAGGGTGTGTGGCCGTGTGTGGAAGGGGCACCCTGCCCTCCAGCCACCTTCGGCCTCGGGGGAGGACCGAGCACATCGGCGGCCTCCCGCAGAGCAGCGCCCCCTCCGCGCTCAGGAGGAGTCTACGATCTGAGCAGGCTTGGCCAGCCCAGCCCCGGCAGCAGCTGCCACGGGGCGGGATACTGCCACGTCCTTCTGCACCACCTCGCCGCTTGCCGCTCACCGCTTGCCCACTTCATCGGCGCTGCGGCTTTTCAGGAGGAGGTTCGATTACACAGCCATTCTGGTGGTGCCCTCGCTTGCTTTCCGGTATGCAAGCTGGCTGGATGATTGGACTGAATGTGTGGCGCGCGTTAGCAGACAGACTCACCCAGCGGCTGCGCGCATTCCACTGGCCCGCATTGCATCATTGTTATCATCTGAGTGTGTGCCGATGGCGATTGGTGGAAACGTGCTGGGTGGCGGTGTTGGTGGTTTCCACGATCAGTCGTGTGAAGCTTGCGTGGGGTAAGATAACGTCTCTGGGCAGATTGAGGGCAGCGCTCAACGGATCATGTCATCACCCAAGTGTCAACGTCAAAGTTCAACACAGTGGTAAGGCAGACCGCATAGATGTCATAGCGATAGTCAAGTTCCGCTGAGCCCTTTCGTACGCTGCCAGAGCATATTGGGAGCTGGGAGTCTATGGGATGCTTTGGAGGCTTCTGGGGGGCTTCTCAAGTGCATTTCGGGGTTCCTTTCCGAGCATCTTATGCAATTTGTTTGACTATACTTGGCCACCTTCGGGCTATGTTGGGGCCTCTGGCCTTTTTTGGAACCTGCCACCCATTTGTCCCCGCCCTTGGGCCGCTCATAGGCCACCTTGGGGCCCTCTTCAAGCCCCTCTGGGGCTCTCCTTGGCCGCTTTTGGGGGGTGTTCGGAGCCACCTCCGAGCACTTCTGAGCTCCACGTGGAGCTATATTGGGCGGTATGGGAGCTGTTTCTGTTCTCTTTGTGCTGTCTTGCGCCACTTTGGGCCATGTTGGGGCCTCCTGGGGACTTCTTGGGAGCCATCTTGGAAAGTGGCACCCATTGATTCCCGATCTTGAGCCGCCCTTGAGCCCCTTTGGAGCCCTCGTGAGTGTCTCCTCGGGCGCTCTTGGAGGTGTTCGTCTCCCTCTTGAAGACCTTCTGGGTTCCCAGCCCATGTCACAATTCGTCATGAGATTTTGTTTGACCCTCTTTGGGGCATCCTTGGGAGGCTCCGTGCCCCCCTTGCAGTCGTGTTGTGCCTGATTCCGGGCTTCTGGGAAGCATGTTGGAGTCTACCTGGCGGTCTGGCAGTGCCCAGCGGCTGTGTGGGATGCGTCCTGGAGCTCTGGTTGGTAAATGTGGTGGCCGGATGGAGTCTGTTCGACCGTGCTTGGGAGTTCCGGCATCCTTTGGTTCGTCGGTTCAGGGCGCAACCGACGGTGTGGCATACGGCGATAATTGTGCCGCAGTCCATGGCGCGTCCCAGGGCACAACCGAATATGGCAGCACCAACCATTGCACAACCTGCTTATCGCGCAACCTATGTGACCTCTATTCTGGAATGTGTAGACACCGGTGCATAAAGATGTGTTCTGTAACACATGACGCAGCCGCTGGCGCAAGTGCGTCGTGCCGGCAACCAGGGGCGCAACAAATGGCGCAGCCTGCTTTGCAGCCCACGGTGCACCCGACGACGGCGATGGCTTCGGCGACGACGGCGACGAGCCATGTCCTGGCAGCAGCAGGCGGACGGGGCTCCGAGCCATTGCCCCTCTTTCTTTTCACGGGGCTACGCTGAAATCGGGCCTGACCCTCTACAGGGGGAATCTTCAAAAATAGTCCAAGGATAGTCTGGGGACTATTTTTGTAGTATTTCTTGGCCATGTGGGAGTATTTTATTAGTATGTTTTATTTGTCGTCGAAAATCCCCCTGTAGGGGGACACGCCCGACATAAGGCTACGCCCAATCTGTTTCGCCATTCGAGACCGTGGTCGGACCCGAACTGCGAGCTCTCGTTGCTTCTGGCTCTAGCCATCTCGGGCCACAGAGGCTCATGGCGCGATCGGGGATTTAGGGAGGTGTTATTTTATCAAGGTGCAACTCCTGGGCGGTTAGCGTCAGAACCGTTGTTGGTAAGTCCTTGGTCGGAAGCTGACCTAATCTGGCTGAATCCCGATTCTGATCTGGTTAATCTGGCTTAGTCCAGCTTGATCTGCCTTGAACTTGGGTTTAACCAAGCCTGCTCAAGCTTAACTGCCCCTTGATCGGGCTTGAGCGCCCCTGGCCCTTCATCGCTCCGATCCGACGAAGACCTCCCAGGTGTTGTTTCCCAACCTACACGCCAGTGGTTTTGAAAGTAGGTGTCTCTGCACTCCCAGACCCCGATTTACTTCAAACGCTCGCCTGCTTCAAGAATCGATCTGTCTCTGTTGCATCTGTTGCCACAGTTTGGGCGGGCCCGACCCCAATCCACCACATCCACCTTCCTCCCCCATGTGCCCACCTACTTTCTCCGACTGGCGGGTCATTCTTCGTCTCCCCCGTGCGCGCTTGCCGCCTCCATTCTCCGCGGATGGGCGGCGGGGGGCTCCGCGCGCTCCGGGGCGCCCTGCTCGCAGCGGCCGCGCTGGCCTCCGCCTCCAGCGACGCGGGGGCGGCGGGCTGCGAGTGGGACGACGCGCAGGAGCGGGTCCGTCGCCCGCTGACGGGGGTCAGCCTCTCGCTGGGCAGCCGCTCCGGGGAGCCTCGCGTGTCCTCGGAGCTGCGTCTCCGTGGGGCACCGGCGTGCACGAGCGTCTGGTCGCCGATAGTTTGGCACCGATTCAGCGCCGAGTAGCGTCGATACGGCAGCGGTTGGCGCCGGTCAGCGCCGATTCGCAAGGGCCTGCAAGCTGGCATGGGAGGCTCTCGCGAGTTGCCACCGAACTCTGGGGGTAATGCAAAGGTAAGCTCAATTCCTTCGGCTTTCCTGGTTCGGGGCCGCATTGGCTGCAAACGACAAGTATTTGCTTACGTTGCCTTGGGGATTCTGTCGGATCTTGTTCCCTGGGCCCCGGGCACAGCTTTTTTTTTTTTTTCTCAGAGGATATGTTTTCCCCAGTTTGCCATTCGCTGGCTCTGGCCCCCCAGAAGTCTAACTCCCAATAGCAGGATAATGACCAGGGGACGGACGAGGTGGCGCAGTTGCAGACGAAGGCCACGGAGCTGGCGCCGTCAGCCGTGAAGCTCCACGGAGTTCGAAGATCAAACACTTGCATAAACATAATTTGTTTGAGCTCTGCGCGGATTTCTTGGGTCGGCGCTTGGACCTCCCTGACGGCGCCTCTCGCGCCGCCCCTGGCGCGCAAAAATCCGCGCGGAGCTCCGAGAGTTTGATAGTTCTACGTTCTGTCTCTTCTCTCTAGGAGCTGCAGCGGGCCAGGGCCGCATCGTGGAGCGAGGGCGCGATAGCAAGAACTCTACGCTTTCGACCAAATCGCCGAGCAGAAACACCTCCGACCGGGGGAAGGGGCTGAACAAGGACGAGGTGATGCAGGAATTGGAGTTGCAGGGCTTCTTCCTGGGTGCGTCGCGGGACTTCTGGATCGTCGTGTCGATGTGCTGGGGGTGCGCGGTCACTGCCCTGGTCGGCGTTCTCTGCGTGTCGCGCGCCCTGAAGGCGAGGATGGGCGAGTTGAGGGACAGTGAGCTGTGCAGCAGAGGCTTCTCGGAAGCGCTGGGCACGCCCATTCCGCAGCCCGCTTTTGAGCTCAGCGCCCTGCAGCGGCACGTGCTCCGCGGCGAGGAGAACGCGGCCTTTGCCAGGACGGCGGACTGCGCCTTCCGCGGCGCCGTGATTTGTGCTGCGTGTGCGCTGCCGTACTATCGAAGGCGCTCACGGCGAACCACCCCCGCCCCCTGGCTTCTGGAAGCGCCCACCTGGGCCGACGTCTTCCCACGCTGTTTGTCCATGTGTACCCGCTGCCGTTGTGGAACTCCTTGGGGGAACACGTAGGCGAGGAAGAGACAGGAGCAGGAAAAGGTGGAGGAGGAGGATGAAGAGGAGGAGCGTGAGGAGAAGTTCTGGGCTTCAGAAGGTTGGCAGCCACCGAACCCGCAGATTTGGTGTGACTTTGCTCGGCGCAGCTCTAACCTTAGGCGTGTGTCTTGCCGCGCGACTCATTATTACATGGTGATTGTGCTGTCCCTTGTCTCGCAATGACACGTTGTTTTAGATATTCGGTTTTCTTCATCAAGGCAGGGCGCAGGGAGAAGCCTGAACTTACCTGGCCACGACGTTTCCGTCAGAAGAGCAGCAGCACAGACGTTGCTCAGGCGTTCATAGGCGCCGGATCTTTGTAGACAGCATCATTCGGCTCAACCTGGGATGGCGAACCGTTCGTCTGGACCCATTCTCAGACGTAGCTGAAACTGCGCGAATGGTTACAGAGTCCTAAAGGGCCATCATGGGAAGTGCCTGTGCGGTCTCCACTTCGACAACAACTACGTTCAAGGTGGTGCCCACAACTGGGACGCGCTCGCCCTTCGAGCCAGCTTTGAACACCTCAGGGGGGAGGCGAGGGCGGCCAGAAAGGGCAGATACCGCGTCCCGCCGCCCCAGCAGTCCCGGCGTTCAAAGCAGCTCAGTTCATCTGTTGCCCATGTTGTGCCGGTATCGAGGTCCACGATTGGGAATCCGCCCCTGAAGCCGTGGTCCGACACATGCGAAGAGCCACAGGGTGAGAGCCACGTCGGTCGACGAGCCCGACTAGCACGCGCACGGCGTGCCTGCTGGCGCCTGGCCGCAGCCCGCGACAGAAGCCCCGTCAGGCATGGCGCGTAGGCCTGCGCCAGGGCTGGGACCGCAGCGGCCGCCAGCGCCGCCGCCTGCACCAGGTCCCCGCGGAGCGCTTGTTCCGCCGCCGACTTGGCAGGTCACCGGAGGCGGCGCCCCACCGCCACGGAGGGGCCGGGCAAGGGCGCGCGGGCATTTCCGCCCCAGCTGCCCCAAGTCGGTGGCCCGCCGCCGCAGGCGATGCAGCCGCCGCCCTGGCGCACCAGGCGTTTTTGCCTGCTGGGCCCAACGGAGAGGCCCTTTGGTCAGATGAGGGCCACGACGCAGCAGCTCATTGCGAAATTCCGCTGGCAGGATCAGAACATTGCGCAGCTTGGTCACGCGTTCATTGCTTTGCGGTTTCACCTGCTCCTGAAATGGGATCTCCAAGGCAGGGTGGGAGCGAGGCGCCTCGGCAGCCTGCCCCCGCGACTCCAGCGCCTACGGCGCCGACAGGAGCTGCGACCCCGACGTCAGCGGCTCCATCGCCGGCGATGGCTACACCTCCATCCCATGGTCAACCCAGGGTCGCCATCGCCACCTCCTGCACAGCCCGATTCGCCTGCGCCCGCGGGCGGCTGCCCGAACCCGATGTTCAAGGAAAACATATGGAGGAGGTCACGAGCGAGGTCAAGTTGGAGCCAACATTGCACGAGGCGATCTCGCCGACCCAGCCAACGGCGCCTGCAGAGCACGCGGAGGGGGATCCTCGGATGAAGGCACCGCAGTACTCCGCCACAGAAGCCATCGCCGCAGTAGACTCGCAAATGAGCCAGTTGATCGCTTCTCAGGTAGTCTCAGCAGTTGCCGAGATCGAGGAGGCTTGCCAGAAGCCAGTCGATGGCGAGGAGCCGCCGGCGCCCGCGAGCGATGCCTTGCCCAGCCCGCCGCGCCAGATGCCGATGGGCCCAGCGACCTCCTCCTAGACACGCCAAGCAAGACTGAGCGCCAGCGGTCTGTGAGGCCATCGGGGGCCCAGAGACCATGCGCGTCGTCCTCCAGCTTCTTCCTCATCCAATCGATGTAAAGCGCTCTCGCATTCGTGAAATGTCCTTCTCTTGCTTCCCCCGTACTCTTGCGATGCAAGTCTGGTGGTCGCCGAGCTCTTCTCTTGACCTTGCGACTGCTCTTCTACGCAGGATGGCCCAGACATTTCTCGAGCAGATTTCGGGATGCGTTCCTCGAGGGAGCTGACTCAGCAGCTCCGCCCCGAATATTCCCAATTCGGATGGGAAGGGGAGGATTCAGTTGGGCTTGGCTGGGCGGGGGGGGGGGCGCGCGAAGTACTTCGGCCCTCTCAGCCTCATAGCCTGTCAGGCGCGTCCCGCCTGTCAGCGACATCCGATCGGCCAGATCTGGGTGTAGGTCCGCTAGCCAGCGCGAGCTGCACCTCGTGTCCTCCCTGGGACACGCTGCTGGGTGCAGTAATCGGAGGGCCGGGAGATGGGCGTGGGAGGAGGAGGGGGGGCGCGCGACATCGTCGAGCATCCGCTGCGGGGAACCACCCTGGTAGCTCGGCGATCGTTCAGACGCCAGCCGCTTCAACTGAAGTCTATGGCTCGTTGACATTGGTCGAGTTTTCCCTCGTCTGTCCGATGGAGCTTGCTACATCGTCGCGTGAAACATCAGATTTGCGGCAAGGGGTTCGGCTGCCTAGCGCGCGCCACTCCGAGTATGCGTGTTTCACATTGTCGACGGTCGCATCGTTCTATCATTCATTCCGGCTTTATCTAAGCACAGCTGATTCCAGATCGACCCGTCAGCAGTTTTGCAGTTGTTGCTCCGTGGGTGGCGTTTTTCTCGCGCGTTCGTCTGTTGCGCTGGCTTGTTGTCGGCAATGTCGTGGAGGCCGCCGCGGGGCCCCCAAGACACCTGGGGGCGCCCCTCCCGGCGCCTGCGCCCCCCGCCTCCAAGACTCCACGGCCCCCCTTGTTCGCTTCGACCTGGCCCCCCTTGCTTCGCTTCGACCTGCCCAGCACCCCCTCGCGCGTCGACGGGCTAACCACCCGCTTCGCCCCCCCCCCCCCCCCCCTGAACTAGACGCAGCCGACCGGGCTGAGCTCCCCGAAGAGGCCAGTCTCGAGGTGCAGCTGTGTCCGTTTCTGGATGGCGATTGGGTCGGCGCGTCGATTTTTGCAGATGGATCCGTCAAAGGCGCAGATAGCGACCTCGCGGCGTGGACCATCGCCCCGGCGTGTCAAGACTCTCAGTTCATTCTTTACGCTTGTAGGTACGCAGGCGCGTTTGCCGAAGTCGCAGGGCGATGCCGGGCCGCGCCTATGCCGGCGCCAGCTTCTACTTTGCCGCCAAATGTCGGGCCGCCCTCCCCTCCCTCGATCTGCTTGATGCTGTGCCCTTGCACATTGCATCGCCCGACGCGGCGAGAGCGCGCGATGGTGTTCCTGCGCCGCCGAGAGCCGGCCCGCTAGTCGGGAGATTTGGCCCATCGTCTCTTGTTCCCTGCCGGCGCAGATCCATCCTCGCTGCCCATGTCAAATCGTGCGATGGGCATTTCTGGGCTCGGTAGTGGGTGGAGCGCAATGTTCAGCTCGGCCCTGGCCGCGCCGCAACCGCCCCCGAGAGGGGCCCTTCAGTCGTCGCGCCCATGCGCCGTCTTTCATGGCTGCGGACTCCCGCATTAGTGACCGAGAGCTCCACAATCTCCAAGTCCCCTGGGGCCCCCATCAAGCCATCCACAGAGCAATGCGGTGCCAGGCCCACCTAGTAAGAAAACTCGCGGTGCTCTGGGCAAGGCCAGAAGTGCGCGCAATAAGGCTACGTGACTCCAATCGGGCACCCTGCGGGCTCACCTCGCCGGCATTCAATGGGCGCGCAAACCCGGAGGAGCACGCAATTCATCATTCTCTCACCAGGCACATGCGCAGCCATGGGCGGCGACGGGCCGGGCGTCGAGTCGCGGGTCATGCTGCGCCCAGCCCCGCGCGCGCAGGCCTGCCAGCGAGATTCGAATCTGGCGCCCAAGCACGCTCGCGTCTTGCTGATCCGCGCATGCTCGTTGCCAAGATGGCAGCCCCCGCACTTGACTATGCAGTGATTGCAGCGCGCGCGCCTCGCCCCACAAAAAACAGCACGGACATCCGTTCGCGCGTTTTGCAACTCTCTCGGGACGGCGGGGCGGTCGTGAAACAGCGCCCCCCCCCCCCTCCCCAGACCGGATTGATCGACGCCAGCGCCGGGCGAGGCACTGCGACCTCCGGGGCCGCCGGTTTCCAATTGTTCGCTCGCGATCGGGGTTCCTCGCAAGACACTTTGCATCAGCTTGCGCTTGATGTCGGCATGCCTCCTGTCAATGCGTTCTAATCAGGTATAGGATCGATTATGTGATCGTGGATCGACCCACCATGCCGTTGGCAGCCAGGTCCACTGCATTACATGTGCTCGGCAACTGCATCGCAGTTGAGGACCGTGCGCCGCTCCATGCAATGTCTGAGTCTGAGTGGCCCCCCGCCCCCCTCGTTACCATTATCCTTAGGCGCCCCAAATTTGACCCTCGTAGGCTGGCCAGGGGAAACAATCGCGACGCCAGTGCTGCCCGCTGTATTTTTCTTTCGGGAGTCAGATGTCAACGACCTGTTGCGCGATCTCACACCTCAGACGCTCACGCGTGTACAGGAATGCTTTGGATTTCCACTCGGGTCTCCCAAGCGGCCTCGCGTCTCTGCCTTAGCTCTGGATATGATCATACGGAGGCGCGCGGCAGTTCGCGCGCTGCGTAGGTGGCGTTCACCTGGCGCGCCCCTGGCGATCGCGCAATCCTGCGGCTCGCGCAAGACCGGGGCTCGCACTTCTTCCGGTGGCGATCCCGCTCCGAGCATGACCCCGGCCGTCCTGGATGACCGGGCCTCAGTTGTCCTGCTGCGTCGCTTTGCAAAGAGAGTCACGGTCGGAGATCTTCGCCGGACTGTTTCAGGCAGGAAGATCCGCTCCCACGCGCAAGGCTAACGTGACACAGCTTGTTTCCCCTTGCAAGGCTTCGCGGAGGAATTTGATTGATTCCATTCGTTTTCGGGGTATGGGGCTGAGGCATCTCCTCCAGAGCAGATTTGTGTCATTCGAGGTCCTGGACGGCGATCGCTCTTGACGTTGCACCCCCGGGGCGATAGCTTTTCCCCCTGTGCCCAGAACGACGGAGCTACGCATGGGTTGCCCGCCGTCGGATCCCGTGAAGTCCGCGCGGATCCAATTTTGGCTTTGGCATCTGTCTTGGTGGGTCCGGTTTTCGCCCGCGTGGATCCGATTCCGGATTGTGGGCTCGCGCCTGGCTTTTCTTTGATGGTATACGTAATAATACGTGCATTGAATTTCAACGGGGCACTGGACAAAATCGAATCCGCGGACCCCTGGACCGGCGCGCGTGTTCTGATTCTACGACGGAGGGGGGTCAGTCATCAATTTTTCAGGATGGGTCCTGCTCTGTCTCGCGCGCCCCCAAATACTTCCCGCGCGCGCGGGCCCCGCTCGACGTGCATGCGTCTCTTCTCTCCCGGTTACCGCGCGCAGCTCGCCCTGGTGCCGTCCGTTCGGCGGCGCCTGCGCTGTCTCGCGAATCAATGCCGCCCCAGTGGGAAAACCCATCGCCCCGCGCAAGTGCGTTTCGGCCCCGCGCCCCTCGCGGGCGCTGGCGCGCCCCGGCGCGATCCGGAACTCTTCCCACTTCCCTTGGTTGTCGGGCTCTAGCGCAGCGCGCTGCGATCCCTATTCCAGGGCGCGGATTTTCGCGAGGGCGTCTCGAGCGGGACCTCCTGGGTTTCCCTCGGACACGTGCAAGGCTGCCCCCCGAGGCTCCGGCCCACGCCGCCCGCCCCCATCCCGTGCAACATTGCCTCGGCCGCTCGAGAACCGCTGGTTTCGAAGATGGTTGATGTTACCTTCTCTTCAAGGGTTCGGGCCCCCCGCGGCTCGCCCGCTTCCCTTCCGCCCCGTCGCGCGCATCGCCCACTTGTTCGGGATTCAGGAGGGAACGTGGTTTCCAGTGGTGCATGGAAGATGCCTACTGCTTTCTCGACTGACGCGGCTACGCTGGGCGTCGACGTCGCCAGTCATTTCTCAACGATGACTGAACGGCCCCCGCCGCCACTGCACCGCGGACCCTCGCGATCAGCTCAGGGCGCGCTGCTGCGGTGCTCGCAGGGCCCCCTGCGAATCATGGCCCACGGCGCGCCACATTCCGCCCCCCAGGACGCCCCTGGTGGGCGCCGACGCCCGAGGCCATTCCGCGCCGAGGATCAGCTCGGGGGGCCTGGCCACGGTTTGTCCCGCGAGCGGAAGCAACTGCGTCTTGGTAGCGTCCTCCCTCGCTCTACAAGTCGGTACCTATGCGAGTGCTGGGTTCCCGGTTTTCCACCAGTCTCGGAACGCCCTCTTCAATGCGTAGTTTTCGGGAGATGCCCCGGCTCGGGGAACTCGAGGCCGTCCCACATGTGCGCGCGCACCACGTTCACCTATGCATGTTCGGGGCCAGAGCGCTCAAGCCCACGGCGCCCTCGGCGAGTCATGCGGGCCCCATGGGGGCCCTGTTTGGAGCCGAGGAGAGACGCGACCGTTGTGCCCACCCTAGGCCCCGCCGCGGACTTCGGGGAGTTGGCGAGGATACCCGTTGAAACGCCCCCCATCTCAAGACCTATCCTCCTGCGTTCTGTCGCTTTCTCGCCGCGTGCGCCCCCCGGGAAGTGAGGGCCCAGTTTCCCGAGCTGCGCTGGCAGACCGACCGAGCCGCTCCGCCGACCCCTTTTCTCGACAGGCCACCGCTGCGTTGGGCCTTCAGCGACGGGCGAGCGTTCGGGGAGACAGTGGACCTTGACGTGGGCGACGACGGATGGAGCCTCCTGGCTTGTCACAGACGGTTGGTGTCGCCCCTGGACCCGCGCTCGTTGCGTGGGATTGCCATGCGCTGCATGGTCCATCGTGCCTTTGGCGTGCTGACATTATGACGATCACGGCCCGTCTCTATATATCTCTATGTTATGGTTAGAGGTTCCCCGCAGAATTTCTTTAGAAGAGTTGAGAGCGCAAACAAATACATCATGATGTCCGCCTGGGCCCCCTTTGGACGAGCGGAGCTGCGAGCGAAGTGGCGCGCGCGGTCGCGCGCGACCCGCCGCTTGTAATAGCGCGAATGCGTCGGCGTCGCTGCGACGACGACGGCGACGGCGACGACGACGGCGGCGCCTGCGCCGACGGTGGCGACGACGGCGGCAACGGCGACGGCGGCGACGACGAACATTGCGGCGACGGCGGCAACCGGGCCCGGGCCCACAGGCGAACTTGCGCCTCGCCCTCGTTCTTGGAGTCCTGGGCCAGATTTCATGGGGGGGCGACACTTCTGCGCGCAATTTACCCCAGCCGTTCCTCCGCTAAGGCTCTCTTTTCGCTGTCGTGAAACGTTTTTTGTTTTTGGTCCGAATGTATCGAGCGGCGCGCCTTTCTTAACATCGTTTCCTCAACTTCGTAAAGCCGCCTTTTCGATTCAGTAAAGCCGCTTCTTGGCTTCAGTAAAGCCGCTTCCTTGCTTTAGTAAAGTCCGCGGTCTGCCTTATAAGAGCCTTGGGCGTGCGGTGGTGATGCGGGGCTAGGGCCCGGTCGGGGGGCGGTGGCCTCTTATTTTTTGGCCGTTGCACCCCGCGATGCACATGTTCGGGAAATCCGGGTCGCGTTGCATCGGGTCGCGGCGACCCTTTGGCATGTTTTCAGCGAATTGTAGATGCTCCTTCACAGAAGATCCAGGGCGCGAGCGCAGGATGTGGCTCGGCAGTTCGGACGCACTACCGCGGCTGTCGCGCAACAGAGCAAACGCACTCTATTAAATGACTGATTTTCTTTAGCAAACAGCTCCTTCAAAGTAGTCGTGTGGATTTTCCGTTTCCATTATGGTGTTGTTTTGTGTCGTCCTCGGTTGCAGAGGTGTTGCGCGAACGGCAGCGGCATTTATACGGGCGAAGGGCATTCTAGGGAAGGGAAGCCTCCCCTATTGGTGCCGCGTGGCGCGCCACCAGGTTGGCAGTCCCTACAGTGTGTGTTGTGATTCATGCAGGGCGCAGCTGCGCCTGACGCATGTACCAGTGCACTGTCGTCCGCCCCTTTTTAATTGTCGTCGGGGAAAGTTTCGTCTTTTTCAATTCTATGGTGCAGTTTTTTCATCTGTCTCGAGTCTCATCCGCTTAGTGGTCGTGCCCCAGTTCCTTGCGACAGCGCGTATGGCCTCGCAGGCTGCGCCCTGTGCGCTGCAGTTGGGTCAGTTCGCCTAGCCGTTTTGTTCCTCATTCCTGTTGTGTTCTTTACTATTTGGGCTCACTCCATCTCGTTTCCTCTCTCTCTCTCTTTCTCTCCCTCCCTCCCGTTCTCGCACCATGCTGGCACTTATTTCCCGCCGTTCGACCGACCAACCGAGAATGAGGAGAAGGAGGGCGAGGAGAAAGAGGAGCAGGAGGAGGATGAGGAGGCCGTTTGAGGCCCTCTTGAAGCCTCCAGGGGTCTCCTTGGGAGCCTCTTGGGTGTCTCTGAGTGGCCTGTTGGGGGCGTGTTGGTGCATTTCAGGAGTTCTTTGATCGCTTGCGTGCGCCCTATGAAATGGGTCTCTTTGCATTTGGAAGCTGTTTGGGGGGCCTCTCTGTGCAGACGCGGGGCCCTCAGCTGCCCTTTTGGGCCGCGGGGCCGCCCGGGGGCTTCGCGACAGCCCGAAAAAGCGAGAACGCCAACATCGTTGAAGAACCTGATGGCCGTCGACGATTTTGGCCTCATGGAGCTCTCCCTTGGGGCCTTTTGGGCCGTCGTGAAGCCATGTTGAGCTCCGTTTTGGCCTCCTTGGCCGTCTTCGAGACCATCTTGGCTGTGGGGGTGTCCGCGCGGCTGGCCGGATCGGCCGAGACCCCATTGCGGACGTCTAAACGTTGACGAAACACCTAAAGGTTTGACCCGCCAGGCACCCGTTGGATACATGAGCAGGGGGCGGCGGACCCAGTGCCCTTCGGCATATTTCACCACCGCGCCAGGATCGTGCTCCAGATTCCAGAGGCCCCGTTGGCGTCACGGGGCCTCATGGGGGCCTCTTGTGATGCGGACCTCTTGTTGCCTCTTGAGAGTTGTTACAGGTTTTCTGGCGGGTGTCTTGGGGGCCAGGTGTGCAGTAATGGCGACATATTGGAGAATGGATTGTCATCCCATGCAAGGCTCGCTGGACTTTTCGCGTGGCCGCCTTAGAGGCGTCTTGGGCTCTTCTTGAGGACTCTGGGGCCGTATTCGGGTCTTGACGTGGTCTCGGACCCCTTTGGAAGCCCTCACCTCACCCAAAAAGGCAACCACGCGAACAACTTGCAAATCCATTATGTGTGTTCGGCGATTGATGATTGCGGGCTGGCCCGCAAAAGTGACCCTCCAAAGCTTCCAAATACAGGCAAGTGTTACAAGGTTGGAGGCTCGCATTCCCAGCAGAGCTCCCGAGGCTTCTGGAAACGTCGCGCTGAGAATCTCTCAAGCGCGCAGAACCACCGGGAATTAGGGGTTTGGGGCTTATGGCAGTCTTCCGTACTCAGCGTGGACGACTCGAGTGGACATGGGGGGAACGGGGCTTCACAGAAGTCTCAGAAGATCAGCGGCCTTCTGAGAAGCTTTCCAAGCCGTCTCCGAACATGCATAGGGCTTCTCAGAAGGACAGAGGGTTTCTGAGAAGCCCAGCCGCCTTCAGATCACTCCTCCCTCCAGCTCTGCCCCGACATGTTCAATATGGGCGACTCGAGTGGACTTGGGGACACGCCCAACCGCGACTCGGTGGCGGATCTTCCAGCCTTCGCATGGCTCAACGAGCAGGGATGGAGCATGCAGTACGCAATGGTAATAGTTGCCTTCACACTGTACAGGGACCTCGGCACCACCATGAGCCTTGCGTGGTACAACTTGTTCGGCACCGTGGTGCCTATCATTAACACGCTGGCGCTTTACGCATTCTTCCCTGATGGCACGACGGCCGACGGACTGTACTCGACAACTTGGTTCATCGGAGCTGCAAATCTCGTTGTCTTCTGCGGCCTAGTCTTGGCGTTCAACGTGCCCCTGGGTGTCAGGATGTTTGCCCTGTCCTGGCAGGCGTACTGGTCGATGTGTTTCCTTGACCCCACTAACAAAACCGCGTTCAGCGTTGGGTTCAGACTGATCACCCTCAAAGGCGCAACAATGGGGCCTTTGGCCGGAACCATAATCGGCATCCTGATGTCAATTCTCGTCATGCTCCAGACGCCTTTCGGCCCCTGCCTCTCCAACTTGCGAGGGTCTCTTGAGGTCACCATGGACCTCGCATGGAACGAGGGTCAGTTGTGGAAGGAGATTATCGCCGACTTCACGGGCAAGAGGGAGGACTCCCGCATCGTACAATTCAGGGGGAAGATGGACCAGCTCACAGGCAAGATTGGAAAGCTTCAAGACTACCTCGGCAGCACTTGGTGGGAGAGTTTTGGCGCTGGCCACCCGGGGCGTGTCATGAGGAATCTCAGGGAGGCCGCAGCCAGGTTCGCTCGTATGCAAGACTTCTTGTCCGAGCGGTCGCTGCGCACGCTGGAGTCCGACCTCGGGCCAGACCACGAGCGGCTCATGGAGCCGGTGAAGGCAAAGATGGAGAGCCTGGCGGACGGAGCGGCGCAGCTCCTCTACCGCGCGGCGCGCGTCGGCGCCGCCGGCGGGCGCCGCAACGCGAGCGTCCAGGAGAGGGACGCGCTCCAGCAGGGCCTTCTCGCGGTGGCCGAGGTCGGCGGCGAGCTCCGAACCCTGCCCTCGCCGATCAACGATCCAGGCGAGTCGACGGGCGGCGGGGGTAGGGTTCGGAATTCGTCCAGCACGTGGCGAAATCCGAACCCTGGCCCCGCCTCCCATCGATTCAATAGAATCGATGGTTGGTTCGTGGGGGACAGGGCTCGGCTGCCCCCGCCTGCGAGGGCCAGCGGGAGATGGCGGGCGCCCTCGCGAAGGCGCGGGCGCAGGCCCCCCGGGACAGCCACACCGCGAAGGGTCACAGACTCGGAGGTCCGCGCGGACCTCACGGGCCGGCGACGGGCTCCCTGCCCGCACCCGTGGCGGCGCCCCCGCAGGGCCCCTTCCGACTCCTCCGACTCGAGCCGATGCGATATCGATCGATTCCGATGCTTCGATTTCGGACTCCGATCTGGATCTCCGCTCCCCGACGGGGTTCCTGCCAGCCTGCCGATGTCCGCCGCGTCGACTTCCTCCGACCAGGCCGCCGATTGCCGACCATCCGCTTCATGCCCATCTCCGATCCAACTCATCGATTCGATCGTGGGCTACCCCGCCTCTGCTGCCGCCCCCGGCGCGCTCCACCCGCCAGTGCGGGGAGGATGACCCAGCGCCGAGCCAGAGATCCGCGCCGGCCTCCGGAAAGCTGTGGTCGAATCTCGTTTGTTGTGTTGCTCTTCCAGGTTCACGGCTCTGGCCTCGATGAGGGTGCTTTCGCGTCCATGGTCCCCGAGCACTGCATGGCCCTCGCGTTCTCTGCCTACTGCGCGCAGGTCACGCAATACACGGAATTCCTCCTCGCTGATGGGGATGTCAGCGACTTGTCGCCCTGGGCCGCCTTCTGGGAGTCCTTGAAGGAGACCGGAAAGGCTCAATGCGTGCCTCACGTGATTTTGGCTGGCCGTGGAGACACGCAGTTTGGTGTTTAGGCACTCCAACATCCCACAGCTGAGACAGTTGGAGCGCCTACATGTACCGAAGCTTTTTAGCATTCGGGAGGCGAGTCCCGATGGGTCCTGGACCCTGGGGTCCTCCCCAGGAGACTGTTTTTGTTTGAGGGTCCGATGATAAACAGGGTCATCGGGCCCGCCCGCCCCCCTCTGATTGGCCCCCCCGTTGACCTGGCCCTGTCGGATGCGCAGGTTCGAGGGGGGGTGCGCAGGGTTGGTGCGCGCGGGCATACGTGGGGTTGCCCAGGGCGAGAAGGTCAGGTTATCGGCAGGGGGTCCAGCACCTCCCCCCCTCCTTCCCTCCCGCAAGGTGCTTCAGGAGGGAAAATGATACACACTGACACAAATAATCAGAATCGCCGATTTCCAGGGAAACAGAAAATACGGGAACCGCAGGGGAAGACGAACATCCAGAACATAAAAGAAAGTATGAGGAATCCTGGGGATTGTGTCTATTTGTTTGTGTGTATGGCGGCCCAAATTGGTTGTGCATGCCATTTGGCGTATATTTTGAGTCTCTCCCAGGAGAGCTGCCAGCTGAACGACCCGCACTCCATTGCTCGAAACTGCATCGCGTTCTTCGGCTGCTTTGCCATCGGCTTCTGTGGCCTCCGCGGGGCTGGGCCCAAGACTCATGTCTTCACGATCGAACCCCTCGACTCGACCATCGCGGGCACCACCGCGTTCCTCATGTCGGCAGAGGGTAAGGGCGGATCCGCACTCTACAAGAACATCGGGCGCTTCCTCGGGACAGGTGGAGGTACTCTCCTCGGGGCGATGGTATTCCACGCTCTCGTTGATTGCACGTGGCACGGCGTTCTCTGTGGGATATTTTCGATGGCCATCTTGATGTTCTTTTCGTTTTATTTGTACTTCACGTCAGCCCAGTACGGCTACGTTGGCCTCCTCTTGGCAGCATACGGGGGTCAGCGATTGTTAATTCCGTGTGGAGCGACAGATCAGACCGAGGCGTGGCTCTTGCGCACAATCGCCAACCAGTTTTTTGCCATCGTCGGGGTGTCTTTATCGGAATTGTTGATCCCTAACACGAAGTCCTCCGATGTCGCGATCGGGGCGTTCACAAGTGGATACACATCATTCTTGGCCTCGTTGCGGGCGTATTTGGCTGTGCCTGGCGGGCGCGAGCCGTCACCAGCGAATGACGATGCGTTCCAGAAGCTGCTGGAGGCAAAATGCATCGGCGCAGAGGCCTCCCTCGAGCCGCGTGTAGTTCGCACACCTTGGCGCGGTGAGTTGTGGGAGCGGGTCCTTCATGCGACGACGCACATGAGCCACGCCATTCACTCGCTTGCCTCCATCGGGGCACCCAATGACTCCCCGCTCCCATCGGGTCCATCGCCGAAGACCCATGGTTCCCCGTTCCGCCAGGCTCTGGCGGCGTCGGATACTATGACGAAGACGGCTGGGGACCTGGCACGCCGCGCTGAGGAGTCCTTCCAGCTCGCCGTCAAGATCTTGACCCACGACGACGAGAGGCCGCTCTGCCTCCCCGACGACGCGCACGCGAGGCTGATTCGGTAGCTCATCAGAGGAGCCTTGCGTACCATTGCAATCACATAGTTAGGAGCGCAATAGCGTCGAGCAGCGTCTGGTAATCTATGAGACAGCGTCGATTCAGCGTCGATTCAGCGTCGATGAGCGTCGATTGGCGCCGATTCGCAAGAGCCAGCAGAATAGTATGGCAGGCTCCAATGAGTTGCGGCAGAAGGCTGATCAAGAGCAAGCACGCGATGGCCCACTGGAGGAGCAGCATGAAGGGCGTCATCCGCGAGGCGGCAACGGGTGCGAAGGGGCAGGCACCGGCCAAGAGCGCTGCCGAGGATGTGCTCTGCCAGGCGGCCATGTCGGGGATGATGATGGACAGCCTGGTGGACCACTTCGCGAGCCTGGAGGACGCCGAGATGTTAAACACGCCGGGGGAGCTGTTGTTTTCTGCTTTCAAGATCGGCGTCTTCCTATATGCTCTGGGACCCGATTTTGTTTCTCCCCCGTTTTTGGATTCCCGTTCGCGCTGGTTTCGGTTCGGATCCTTTTTGTGTCGTTGTTCCGTGTCTTTCCTTAGACCGCCGTTTGTTTGTTTAGTTTCGGTTGGCCGACCACTGAAGAGGTGAAAACATGAAATCAACACACGCCCTCCCCGAGCGTTTCGAACATCGACTAGCAGGACGCCCTCCTGCAGCTCCCAGAAGTGACCCGCTAATGCCGTGCAAGCCCCCGGCTGCGGCTGCAAATCATGGGATCTCTGCGTGCCCCCGCATCTTCGCTTTTCGCGCGCACCGGTAGTCGATTTGAGAGCGCCGATTCAGCGTCCACCAGCGTCCACCAGCGCCGATTCGCACGAGCGAACAGCATGGCATCGGAGGCTCTCATGAGTTGCCGCCGTCGTGGCCGACGAGGCGCCGCGGGGCGGGAGGCCCCTGCCGCCCCCGGAGCCCCGACGCCCGAGGGGACAGGCGCCGCGCTGCCCCGTGGAGCGGGGCGCGCGCGGCCGCACCCCCTCCGGAGTGCGCAGCGCGGCGGGGGGAGGAGGGAGCGAAGGAGGTGGAGGAGGGGGAGGAGGAGGAGGGGGAGGAGGAGGAGGAGGAGGAGGAGGAGGAGGAGGAGGAGGAGGAGGAGGAGGAGGAGGAGGAGGGGGAGGAGGGGAAGGAGGAGGAGGAGGAGGAGGAGGGGGAGGAGGGGGAGGGGAGGAGGAGGAGGAGGAGGAGGAGGAGGAGGGGAGGAGGAGGGGGAGGAGGAGAGGGGAGGAGGAGGAGGAGGAGGAGGAGGAGGAGGAGGAGGAGGAGGAGGAGGAGGAGGAGGAGGAGGAGGAGGAGGAGGGGGAGGAGGGAAGGAGGAGGAGGAGGGGGAGAGGTGGAGGAGGAGGAGGAGGAGGAGGAGGAGGGGAGGAGGAGGGGAGGAGGAGGAGGAGGAGGGAGGGGGAAAAGGAGGAGGAGGATGGGAGGAGGAGGGGGAGGAGGAGGAGGAGGAGGAGGGGAGGAGGAGGAGGAGAGAGGAGGAGGAGGAGGAGGAGGAGGAGGAGGAGGAGGAGGAGGAGGAGGAGGAGGGCGCGGGAGTGCAGGGCCGGCGCGGCGGATCCGCCACGGCCTCTCGCCGGTGCCTTTGTCGGGGCTGGGCGTGGCGCCCTCGCCTCCCCGACGCTCGGGGGCTGCTGAAGGTGTCCCTGGGCCCCCCACGGGGGCTTCGAGTGGATGGTGTCGGGGGATCGCCCAATGCGGTTCAATGCGGAGAGCCCGATCTTCGTCGCGCCGATGCCGACATTGATTCGCCGACGCCATCGATGTATCGCCGATGCGGCGCGATCCTCCGACCCCATCTACTCGGGCCTCATTCGGGAGGCCTCTGCTCCTGGCCCAAAGTATTTCCAGCGTTTCGCCCCATCTCGGAGACCCTGGGGCCCTCTGCCGGGACCCTGGGCCCGCTAGTGTTGCTAAGGGGATTGGGGGCTTCTGAGCAGATGAGGTTGGTCGTACCTGGCCTAACCTAGTGTCGGGTACTTACAGCACGCTCATAATCTAGGTTTTGCCAGATAGAGCCCACTGCGGCATCCACTTAGAATCCTCTTCTCCCCGTCAGCAACCCGGTGAGTGAGATCGCCCTCCCTGGTGATCCTGGGGGCACCTTGGGCCGCCTGGGACACCTCCGGTAACACCCCGCACACGTTTGGGGGTTGCTAAAGGTGCCCCTGGCCCAAGGTACCTCCAGCTTTTCGCTCCATTCTGGAAACGCTGGGGCCCCCTGGGCCTCGTCAGGGGTGCTCTGGAGGCCGCGGGGGCCTCCTTGGTGATCCTGGGAGCACCTTGGGCCGGGGGCACCTCCAGCAACACCCAGGGCACGTGCGGCGCAGCGCCGCCCCCCGAGCTGGGCCCGTGTGGCCCTGGGCGCGGGCAGCGTGGCGGCCCCGTTCCCGCGGCGGGGTGGCCACGTCTCTGCCCGCTCCGTGCAGGCGTGGCCGGGCAGAGCAGGCCGTCGGGGGCCTGTCTCGGAGGGGGGGCGAGCTGGGACAGCGGCACGGTGGGGGAGTCGGCTACTTACACGCGGGTCGTTGAAAGGAGGTATGTTTGGATTCCCAGGTCCCGATTTACTTTGGGCGCCTTCCTACTTCCAGGATCGGCTAATGTCCTTCTTCCCTCCTTCCCAGGGGGCGGGCGGAATGAAACCCGATCCACTTCCAACGTCGTCCTACTTCATGCTTCTACCCACTTCTTCCGACTTGGCGTGTACACGTAAGAGTGACCCTACGCCAGAATGACATCTGGTGCGAGCCCAGAGGGCCCCCCCAGGCACGGGCCTGCGTGTTTGGATTTGGCCTACCCGCCGCCCCCTGAAGCCGCGCACCAAAGGTCACTCTTACCCAGGGCCACCCTCGGGTGCAGTCCGAAGCAGTCGAAGGAGGTTGCTGAGGGATCTGTCCAGGAAGCTTCTCTGATCGAGACGCAAGAACGGCGTGAGCATGAGCTGCTGGCGCTCCGCGAGGATATCTTGGATCTGCGCGGGCCCCCCCCTGGCGTCGCCTCCGGCGCCGCCCCTGGCGCGCTCTGTGCGCCAGGGAGGGGGATCGGGCGCAGGTCCAGTGTATGTTTATGCGGTTGTTGATTTCTCGATTCTCTGAGCCTCCCAGATGTGGTCCAAGCAGGTGGGGTCGTAGGACCGCGCCGCATCGCCGATGCATCGCCGACGCATCGCCGATACGACTCGATGCGGTGCCGATTTTCTCCACGCCGACGACGCCGATACATCGACGACTTCGTCAGTGCATCGCCGATGCATTGGCGATGTAGCGCCGATGCATCGGGAATGCGGCGCGATCTTCCGACACCATGGCTCTAGCGGCCTTTAGCTTCAGACCCTGGAGATGCCTTAGCGGATGAGGGCGGCGGTGACATCCAAGGCCCATGCACAATTGGAGTTCCACCGGTCTTACCCGATGATGCCTCATCCATTGCCATGGCGGTAATTGACCATAGGGGGTGCCCGACGTCGCCACGGCTTCAGCTGCTTGGAACGCTAGTGCGTTTGGACCTCAGGCCGGGGGTTGGGGACCGCTTCTGAGCTGCCGTTGTCTCCACTCGCCCTGCTCCGGCCGTCGACGCCGTGCAGGTCGGCCTTAACGGTGCCACCTGCTGGTGGATTGGCGCGGGCTCGTGGCTGAATCAGCTCGTGCTTTCCACGTGAGCGTCTTGCCCCCGTCGCTATCTCTGGCTGGCTAGTCAGCATCCTGTCAGTCTCCCTATCTCTCGTTTCTCTCGTTTCTCTTTTTTTTCTTTTCTCTCTCTCTCTCTCTCTCTCTTCGTCGATGTGCATATATATAGTGTTTTTCCTCTCACTTCCCCCTCACCCTTCTTTCCTCTCTCTCTCACATGTTCTCTGTCTCTCTCTCTCTCTATCTCGCTCTCTCGCTCTCCCTCTCTTTCTCTTTATCTAGTCAGTTGTTTATGCTATGTTTGATGTCTCTTGCTTTCTCCTCTCCTGTTCTCCCTCCCTCCCTCCTCCCACTCTTTCTCCCTCGTTCTCTTGCACTGCCTCGAATTTCAAGACCGGGCGACTGAATACAATTTTGGTTGGACCGGCGATCAGATTGAGAATCCTTGCCACAAAGATGAACATGTGTTTCACTGGCGAGGTACTCATCGAGTCATCAGACTAATATATTCGAACGTTCGCGGTACATCAGCGACTACGTTAGATAATGGCAGCATGAAAAATCGGCAAGCGGAATTCGGAGAATACTAAGGGGCATGCTCGATCACTTCCCTTGATGAATGAATCGGTCGTTGCCTGTACTAAGGCACGTCACTTCCCACTCTTTTTGGATTGTTGGTCTATCGGCGAATTGCGCTTCATAGCTCCAAAAAGTGCCTAACAGAGCCCAGTAGCGCCGAATTGCACTCCAGTGCGCCCAATAGTGCCCAACAGCGCCATGTGAGGGAGCTGCATAATGTCCGCTTTGAGCGCGATGACGCGGGCTATTCGGCGCCACGGGGACGGCCAAAAGCTTCCGTGCCTTGTGTTGTAACCGTTTTCTTCCCTTGATGCATGAGCAGATCGTTTTTCACAAGAGTTCGCGTGCCCCGTGGGGCTGGAGGAAACTTGCACGACGCCGCTACAAACATCTGGGCTGACCCTGGCAACTTCCCTCCCCGAGCTGCAAGCTGGACACGCCTCGAGCAGGGCACATCAAAACAGCGGCAGCACGCCGTCACGAGGCACCCCCTCTGCCCCGTGACCCAGGCGTTCGTTCCTGGACCGGGGACCAGCGTGGCGCGTGCACAGCTAGGCGCATCCCCCCGCGGAGCTCCGACCATGTCTGCCCGTCCGACTCCGTGCATCCCCGGGAGGCGGTCGCTGTGTCAGCATCTTGGCTGTAGGGCGACTGGCCGACGCGCCCAGGTGACTGGCGGGCGTTCGATCATGGACGCCCTTTTCAACTCACAGAGCCAGCTTTCACAGAAGATCGCCGAGGATCGCCAGACACCCTCGAAGGCCGCCAGAATCCGCCGAAGACAAACGTCAAAGACCGCCTGACCCCCACATTCTTAGCCTTGCATCGCACGGCAGGGCGCGAAGCTTCAGAAGCGCAAGTTTCAAGCTCTTCGCTTTGAGCTTGAGGTTTGGATTGCCTCGGCTTCGCTTCTAGATCTCGAGGTTACGATTGCGACGTTCTTAGCCGTGTAGCGCGTGGCGGAACGCCAAGCTTCGAAAGATGAAGATTGAAGCTTCAGCCTTGAGCTTGAGCTTCGGAGCGCCGCTGCTTCATTGCTCGAGCTTGTTCTTATGATTGCGAGTCCGCCTGCGCACCGAATGCGGTTTGGGGAGGTCCAGGGAGGTGCGAAGCGCGCAGCGCCAGCCACGACGACAGCAGCACGGATGTGTCGTGTTGCAGTTTGGTTTGCATCGCAGTTGACGTGCACTACAGCTTGGGTATGTTTCTGGGTGCCGATGTTTCGCTGCTCTCGCTAGGGCTTGAATTTCTGATTACGGTTCCACATGCGAGCCGAATGTGGTGTGAGGAGGTCCAGGGAGTTGCTAAGCGAGCAGCGCCAACCACGACGACCACCGCAAGACAGGTTCTTTCGCATCGCAGTTTGTTGTTATGTCTGCATCGCAGTTTGTTGTGCAATGTACTGTTGGTCTGCTTCGGAGTGACGCCGTTTCGCTGCTAGAGCTTGAGCTTAATCATGATACTGCGTGCGTGCCGATTGTGGTCTGAAGAGGTTCGCAAAGTTGCTGTGCGGTTATTTGTACGTTGCAGTTATTGTTTGCAATGCCGTTTTGATCTGGTTGTTGGAGGTCCTGGACTGAACTTGGCTGGTCTGGATGGTTGCCTGGTCTGGTTTGACTTGCTGGTCTTGCTGGTCGGCTTTATTCAAGCTTTTTGCATCGCAGTGTCTGTTTTGCCATGGCAGTGTTCTTTGCATTGCAGTGTTGGTCTGGTTGGTTACGTTGATCTGCTTATTTTTGTTCGAACTCCGCTGGTCTGACTGGCTGGCTGGTTTCGTTGGTCTGGTTATTCTACTATGCTTTTGATCTGGCTGGTCTGGTTGTTGGGCCTGGCGTTTCGCATCACATTCGGCTGCAATGTACTATAGACTTGACTGATGTGGGTTGTCTGGTTGATCTGCTTAATCTCGGCTGGTCTTGGCTAGTATCGATGGCTGGCTCGTCTGGCTGGTCTGGTTGATCTGGTCCCGCTGACTTGTTTGGTTGGCTGGTCTGGTTGGTCCGGATGGACGATGTCGCTGGCTTGACTTGCACTCGAGGGGTTCGTTGTTTTCGGTGGTTCATTTTGTTGGTCTATGTGGTCGACTCCGCGTCTAGGTGCTCAGCACGCATCGTATTGGGGTGCCTCCCTTCTCCTTTTCCTTCTTCTCTTCCTCTCTTCCCATCGCGTATTGTGCTGTTTTTGTTCGTATTGGCCGCTCTGGCCGTTTCGGGTCGCAACGCGCGCCGCTTCGCGCTTTCATCCTCCAGGTCTCGCTGGTGATGAAGACCCTTCTGCTTCCTCTGCACATGCAAAGGTTTCGCGCGCTGCTTCGCCTGATTCCTGGTGTCCTGGTGCGTCTTGGCAGCGTCAGTTTGCAGGCACCCGCGTTCGACCATCGTGGCCGCATGTGGAAGTGAACTCTCGGGCAGGTCATATTCGTGTCTGATTGGTCTAGTCTGTCTGTTTAGCTGGCTTGACTTGCTATCGAAGACGCCTACGGCGAATCACCGCCGCCCCCTGCCTTTGTGGAAGCGCCTATGTGGCCGAACGTTGAGGCCAGACCTGCCAAGCCATCGGACCATGTGTTCCCCGAATCGGTTTGGAAAGCCTTCGGGGAACACGTGGGCATCTTGAAGGTCATCTTGGCCGTCTTGGAGGCCTCTTGGGCGATCTTTGGGGGCTCTTGGGCCGTCTCGGGCCGTCGGAAAGCCGAAAAGAAGAACATCTCAAACTCCGTCAAAAACCTAAGGAACATCAAGGTTGTTGGCCTCTTCTGGCCTTCCTGGATGCCCTCTTGGGGGCCTCTTGGGCCCTTTTGGGCCAGCTTCGAGCCAACTTCGGCCATCTTGGTAGGTTCCTGGCACGTCTGACGCCGTCGGGAGCCGTCTCGGGAGCCTTTCTGGGCCAACGGGGGACCCTCTTGGGGCGCTTCGGGGCCGTCTTGGAGGCCATCTTGGGCGTCTTGGAGGCCATCTTGAGCGTGTTGGAGGCCTCTTGGGCCGTCTTGGGGCCCTCTTGGGGCCATCTTGGAGGCCACTTGGGCCGTCATGGGGCCCTCTTGGGGGCCTCTTGGGCGATCTTTGGGGCCTCGTGGGCCGTCTTGAGCCGTCGGAATGCCGAGAAGAAGCATATTCCAAAATCCTTCAACAACCTAAGGCAAATCAATGATTCTGGCCTCTTCGGGCCCTCCTGGAGGACCTCTTGGAGGCCTCTTGGGCCGTCTGGGAGGCCTCTGGGGGGCCTCTTGGGCCGTCTTGGACTCTCTTGGGCCGTCTTGAAGGCCGTCTTGGACCATCTTGGGCGGACTTGGAGGCCATCTTGGACCATCTTGGAGGCCATCTTGGCCATCTTGGAGGCCATCTTGGAGCCGTCTTGGGCTGAAAAGTAGGGAATTGAGGTCCTTGGAAAAAATCCCGGGACCCCGGCGGGACGCGCCGGAGCCCCAGGGGGAGTTCTTTTGGAAAAAGAGCCAAAACCAAAACCGAGAGGGTCCAGCACGCCAGGCACCCCTTTGCTAAGGCAAAAGGGGGCGGCGGATCGAAGAGCCTTCGGCCCATCCCGCCACCGTGACTGGGTTGTGGGGATGAAGCCCATTGAATGTTCGTTGGGATCTCGTGGGAGGCCTCTCGTGGACATCTTGGAGATCTGTTGGGCCTCTGTTGGGCCTCTTGGGGCCTCTTGGAGGGCCTGTTGGGGGCTTCTTGGGGCCTCCTGGGCGCCTCTTGGGGCCTCCTGGGGGCCTCTTGGGACGAAGGCTCGGATTTTCGGTTTGTGTTCCCTCTCTTGGGCCACTTTTGGGGCCGTCTCGGGGCCCTCTTGGCCGTCTTGGGGCGGTCTCAGGTTGTCTTAGACCCCTCGTGGAAGCCCCTTTGGCCGCTTTGGGGTGGTCTTGGGGACCTCTTGAGCCGTCTTGGTGCGTCGGAAAGCCGAGCAGGCGATAATGCCAACATCTTCAAAGGGTCACATGTGGATCAATTATTTGTGCCTCGTGTGGCTCCCTTGGGGAGGCCTCTTGGGCGTCTTGGAGGCCTCTTTGGCCATCTTGAGGCCATTTTGAGCGTCTCGGAGCGATCTTTGGGTGTCTCGGGGCCCTCTTGGGCCATCTTGGAGGCCGCTTGGAGCCCTCTTGGTCCGTCTTCGGGCTCTGCGGGGCCCCGGAAAGTCACGCGGGGGAGCCCGAGTGAACCGCGGGAAGCCCCAGTAGATTACAGAAATTCGAGTCCGGGCCCTTGAGAAACTCAGCAGGGCTCAGGTTTGAGGCTCTGGGGGTTCGGCAAAGGCCCTGCGAACACGCCCGCTCCGTGCCCAGAGGCACGGTGGCGGATTAACCCCAGGAAGCATTTAAGAACCCCCCCCCCCCCCTTCCGGCAAATCGATAACCCTTCCGCACCCTGGAAGCGTTACCTGGCACCAGGAGCCCTCCTCCTCCTCCTCATCCTCCTCCTCCTCCTCCTCCTCCTCTCCTCCACCCACGAACTTCCTCCTGCCCCCTCCTCCTCCTCCTCCTCCTCCTCCTCCTCCTCCTCCTCCTCCTCCTCATCCTCCTCCTCCTCCTCCCGCGCCCCCCCCCTTCCCTCGGGGCCCAAGGCCTGTCAGGGCACAAGTCACCTGGGGTTTCCCCTCTGGGCCTTCTCCTGAGCAGGAGGAGGAGACGAGATGAGGAAGAATCCTAGATAAATCCTTAGGAATCCCTAGGACACCCGCAGGAATAGAACTGGATTGTTTTTTTCGCGTGGCCGGGTGCTAAGATAACGCCACGGTGCGGGGGGGGCGGGATACCCTCTCGTGGACCTCCCCCTAGGACGGCCGATGAACATCAATTTCTAGAAGGGTTTTGAATGAGAAATCTCTTCCAAGAGGCCAGCAGATCAGAAGAGAGAAAAGGAGGATGAGGAGGAGGAGGAGGAGGAGGAGAAGGAGGAGGAGGAGCAGGAGGAGGAGGAGGAGAGGAGGAGGAGGAGAAGGAGGAGGAGGAGGAGGAGGAGAGGAGAAGGAGGAACAAGACAAGGAACATGAACAGGAAAAGGAGGAGAAGCAGGAGCAGGGAAAGCTTCTCAGTTGTCTCAGTTTTCTCAGCTTTCCCAGGTTTCTCAGCTTCCCCAGGTTTCTCAGCTTTCCCAGGTTTCTCAGCCTTTCCAGTTGATTCAGAACGGATCGTCGGCAGATTGTCCTGTGTCTTGCCCAGGTCAGATTGGATTCTTGATGAGATGGAAGCGTCGCTCACAAGTCTGAAGCACTGGAAGGAGAGGAGGCGATGGAGGAGGAGGAGGAGGAGGAGGAAGAGAAGGAGGAGAACGAATGTTTAGGAATCTCTAGGAATCCTCAGGAATCCTGAGGACCCTGTAGGAATCCTTAGGAATCCTAACATTCATGAGGAATCCCCTGGAATTTGTGACGAGCCCTTAGGAATTTAAAGGAGTCTTCTGGAATTCTGAGGAATCCACAGAAAGCTTTAGGAAGGCGCAGGAATCGTAAGGGAATCCTTAAGAATCCTAGATAAATCCTTAGGAATCCCTAGGACACCCGCAGGAATAGAACTGGAGTGTTTTTTCGCGTGGCCGGGTGCTAAGATAACGCCACGGTGCGGTGGGGGGCGGGATACCCTCTCGTGGACCTTCCCCTAGGACGGCCGATGAAAATCAATTTCTAGAAGGGTTTTGAATGAGAAATCTCTTCCAAGAGGCCAGCATATCAGAAGAGAGAACAGGAGGAGGAGGAGGAGAGGAGGAGGAGGAGGAGGAGGAGGAGAAGGAGGAGGAGGAGGAGGAGGAGGAGGAGGAGGAGGAGGAGGAGGAGGAGGAGGAGGAGGAGAGGAGAAGGAGGAGCAAGACAAGGAACAGGAATTCATAAGCAGTAAAGGAAAACCTTTAGGGCTCTTAAGGAATTCTTGCGAATCTTTTGGAATTCTCCAGATTCTTGAGGAATCCTTTGGATTCCTAGGAAATATTCAGGAATCCCTGGACATCCTTTGAATCTTTTATGAATCCTGACGAATCTTTGTGAATCCGTAGGAATCCTTGAGAATCCTGCGGAACTTGTATGAAACCTGATGGATCCATTCAAGTCGTTAGGAGTCATCAAATATGCTTGCGAATATTAATACTATTATCATTGCATGAATTTTCCAAGCAGCAAGCGACATCCTGAGTCTTTCATGAGAGCCACGCAGATTAGAATTTCGAATTTCGATTGTGGCCCAGGGGCCAGGCCTCCGCGAATTTGTTGTGTGTCCGGGTGCTAAACCTATCGTTCGGTTATTTCGGCCCCTCGGAATATCGAATAAAAATGCGGTGCTAAGATATCGCCGGGGGGTTTCTTAAATGCTTCCTGGGGTTAATGATGGCTTTCCCGGTCCAAGTTTTT